TCTCTGTCTGAAACTGCTGAGCTCCAGTTCATTTGCAAATTTGACACCATCAGATCAGGATTAAACAAAGACTGTGAATGGCTATCCAACTACAGAAGCAGTTTCTCCTCCCTTGGTGTTCACACCTCAACTGCTAGCAGAGCACCTCACCCTCCCTGATTAAACTAACCTCGTTATCTCCACATTGATTTATACCTGCCTCTGGAGATTTCCATTACTTGCATCTGAAGAAGTGAGGTTCTTACCCACGAAAGCTTATGCTCCCAATACTTCTGTTAGTCTCTAAGGTGCCACAGGACCCTCTGTTGCTATGTACACTAAGCTATCCTATACTACTCTAACTACAAGGAGATCAATTAAACTAAGGAAAGAGCTAGCCTGAGGACACACAGGAGAGTTCTGTATGCCCTCTTTTGGAACAACAAGGGAACTGAGGCAGTTGCGCTCCCATACAGAGAGTATGTTGATGACACCACCACTGCACAAGATGTCTTGTGCACACCCCCAATGGATGTGGCTTTTCAAGGTAGTTTCACAGCTCAGTGCCGGGGAGCCACACTTTACAAGAATTTTTCCTTACTGCAATCATACAGAAGGACATGAGTGGGATTTGAGGCATCACCCTCTTAGGCCTGGTCTACACTGGGGAGGGAAAGGGGGAGAATCAATCTAAGTTATGCAACTTCAGTTACGTGAATAACTTAGATCTACTTCCTGCGGTGTCTTCATAGTGGTAGGTTGACTGCTGATGCTCCCCCGTCGACTCTGCTTCCGCTTCTCGCTCCGGTGGAGTACGGGAGTCGACGGGAGAGCACTCGGCCGTCGATTTATCGCGTCTAGACTAGACACGATAAATCAACCCCCACTGGATTGATCGCTGCCCGTCCAGCACGTAATGTAGACGTGCCCTTATACACCTTTGGACAGGAGATGCAAGGACAGAGGTATGGTGAGCATATTCAAAATTCCAATTTCATGAGATCAACGTGTGCATGCCAATCATAGAGGGAACTCATGAAAATAATGCTTAAAGAATACTGACATGTAATGGCATCAATTCAAGCATATGGAAATACTATTCACAAACATTACAGGTTCCAGTACTAATGCACGAGCTCTATAGGTTTGCCAATTTTGGTTGGACATATTCCTGGAAGTTTCATCACATGACATAATCTTTAATTAAGGATTAATCTTTAATTCCTGGAGACTCCAGGACAAGCCTGGAGGGTTGGCAACCATAAACTCTGAGCAGAGTTCAGTCTAAAATGTTACTGTGCTGACAAAGATGAGAAGTTCAGGTAGTGCAGCTGCACTAGTTCAATTACCTCATCATAATTAGCAACTCCATAATACTCCTGCCCAGTGATGAGCTGCCAAAAATCTTAACAACCGGTTCCCTACCGGGTCTTGGGCGGCAGGTCCTTCATTCGCTCTGGGTCTTCAGCAGCACTTCGGCGGCAGGTCCTTCAGTGCCGCTGAAGACCCGGAGCGAGTGAAGGACCCGCCGCCGAAGTGCTGCCAAAGACTTGGAGCACCGCCCGGTGAGTACAAGCCCCACGTGGGTTTTTTTAGGCATCCCTGCCGGAGCCCCGTCAAAACTGCTCGAATCGGACCCCACACTTCCTAAAGCCAGCCCTGCACATCGGGGTTGCAAAATTGTATCAGGGCTGGGTAGGGAAGGCTGTGCCTCCCAAAACAGCCTGTCCCCCCCCATCCGACACCCACCCACATCTTGCCCCCGATTGGCCCCCTCAGAACCCACAACCCATCAACCCCCCCCCCCCCCTCCCTTGTCCCCTGACCACCCGCTCCCAAGACCCCTCACCATAACTACCCCCCCCAGGACCCCACCCGCTACCCAACTTGCTCCGTTCCCTGCCCCCTGCCAGCCCTCCCCCCCGAACCTCACTGTTGAATAATAACTGACTGTGTCTCCAAATACAATACGTATGTAGGCAATAAGTCAGATTTAATAGTCTTTATTGGATTCTGATATTTATTGCAAAATTGAACTAAGTGCTTTGATGAAGCAGTTTTTACAAGCACTAGTATGAATGGAAGCTAGCAGTTACATTAATTTAATCTCTGTTCTGTGGATATGATGAAAAGCTTGGCAAGAATTTAGACAGTAGCCTTGGCAAATATTACAGAACACCATTGTGGATAAGGGATTATATAGCTATGGCCAGTGGCTGTAAACAAAAGAAATTGTGTTTTAATAGTTAGCCAGTGAGAAACCATAGTATTTCCATTATTATACAAAACAGGTCTTAAAGTCATTGCCTTTCTTCCTGATGTGCTAAAAGCAATTACATTGGTTAATAAAATTCAAAGACAAGTTTTGTTTTTCCTGTTCACAAAGTGTAACGGACAGATCCTCTTTAGAATGCTGGGTGATATAGTCTTACCACTATCTCTCCAGCTATTTTTCTAAGTAAAATAAGTTACATATTTAACCCTGTCTGAAACCGAGAGACAGATTAACATGAATAAATAATATAGGCTTTAAAAACAGAACTATAAACTGGAGAAAATGAGGCAAAAATAGAAAGGAAATGTAGAGGAGAGGATTTTGCTAGGGGAACAGCAGCTATTATTTAGAACATACAGACAGGCAACTCACTGCCCCCTGGGATCCCATGCCTCTCCCCCCCGCCAGCCTCATCACCCCCGGATTCCTCCCGCCCCCTCCTCCCCCACCTCATCACCCCCGATTCCTCTCCTCCGAGTCTCGTCTTGTCTTACCTTGGGCTGCGGCAGGCTGCAAGCTGCAGTCTGATTCCCCTGCAGCGGCGGCGGCTGCTGCTGCTCGGAGACACCTCGGCTCTGTGCAGCTGAAGAGCCGAGTGTCCTTTTCCCGAGCGCTACCTTCCCCCGGTTTGCCACGCAGCCCACATACCTCCAGCCCGTGTGCCGCTGGCCGTGCGCTTCCCCGGCGCAACAGCAGCCGGAGTCTGGGGGGGCGGAAAGTTGCTTCCCCGCGGTGGAGAGCGGCGGGAAAGTTGGAGCCCTGGGAGGAAGCGGCTGCGCGCTCGGATGCGCCCGCCACCTCTGTGCCGGAGTTGTAAGTTGCAGCCTCTCAGGATCCCCTTATGCCTCCCTATTTTCCTGGACACGTTTGGCTTTTTGGAAATTCCTCCCGGACAGGGATTTGAGAACCAAAAAGCCGAACATGTCCGGGAAAATACGGACATATGGTAACCCTAACAACCGGTTCTAAACCAGCTTCTAAATTTAACAACCGGTTCCTGCGAACCGGCTCCAGCTCACCACTGCTCCTGCCTATACTTCAATGACAGCTCAGAGCACTGGCTTTCATCTGTCAAGGTGCAGAGTACAGCCAAGTTGGTGGTAAGCTGGTCTCAGCTCAGACCAGCTCTTCTGTTCAAGCACAATATGCACAGATGCAAGAATACATTCTGCAATGTATGTAACAGGATATTGTACAATATATAGTATGCTCAGCTGAGAAAGGAAACCATTATCTGTACTTCTATCCATACAATACACACCTGCTCCAAGAAGTTCTAAAGAGCTGTGCCTGGAATTATGTGGATATGAACTACTCAGGATAGCTATGGAGAACACTGATCCCTTTCAGAATTAGCTTTTTCTAGAACTATTTAGTTGTTCTGTTTAGCCTAGAAATTGCACACCCCTCTACTGCAGATGAATCTCATGCAAACTGTCCAGCCACCCTGTCACAGAGCCATGAACAGAACCCTGAAATCCTGACTTTATCCCCTACTTTAAATCATAAGGCGACCACGCTTGATGCTATAGTGAAGAGACATCTCCTCTTACAGACTTACTTGTGCTCTGTGGTGTTGGAATTCTTCTTAGTGCCAGAAATTTCTTCCCCATTCTTCTCCCAATAGCTGTAAGTGAGGGGGCTGGGACTTGTGGTGAGGTTACATTGCAGGATGATGGGAGAACTAGACTGGTGAATGTGCACATCCTCGCTGGCATTGATCCTGGGCTCTGGAACAAAGTGCACATTAAAGAGAGTCATAAATCTCAGCTAACAACTGCACCTCGAACCCAGGTCTAATGTTCAGTTGGGAGATGGGGAGGGAAGAGACTACTGCTTCACTAATTTGGGAGATAAAGAAAGAATCACAAACAGCTGACCACTAGTGAAGGCAACAGTTTAAGGACCAGTTCCCCTATATAAAAAATAAGAATTTTAGATTCTTCACTTTCACACTTCAAACAACCTCTACACACCTCAGAGTAAGATTTTTACAAATCTTTTGCATATGGTGGAATGCAAAGAAGTAAGCTGCATATTTGGTGACTGCAAGCAAAATCAGCTTCTTTTCCTCACCTCCTGAAGGAAGTAAGTCATTGTTTCTGGGCAATATAATGCAGTTTTATTCATTCAGAATAAAGCAAACCCTTTTCTATATGCAGAAACTTCAGGCAAAAACAGTCTGCTTTGGCGAATAATATGCATCTCTTTGGGTACCCAGTTCCCAGGAAAAAAACACATGTCAACAGTCTTAGGAACAAGGCCATGTCTACAAGGGGGAATATGCTCTCATTATTGCCATCACTGTAGCTGCAACAGTATAAATCCCTATTGGAAATGGACAGAATTGCTTTTTCTGCTGGTAGATCTTACTCCCGCTTGAAATTAAGGGTAGGCTGCACCAGTGCAAACTGGTTTATAAACAGTTTTTATCCTGTCCACATGAGGGTGCAGCTTCACTAACTGGTAGCCTGTGAAGGCTGAAATTGGAGCAAATTCCCAACCGTAGGCAAATTGCAAGTCACAAACTACAAAAATCTGAGGTGGGGTTGAGAAAGTGTTGCCTTTAAAGTGCATAACACTAAATGTGCGTTGCATTAACTTCTTTGCTATGTAGCATACGTTGGTCTCTAAAGTGTTCAGTCATGGGACACATGGGTGTCATGTCTACAACCTTCTTGTGGTATCCTCTGTGAGTAGCATAAAGCGAAATGGAGGCAGAAGAAATGTGGAACACAGGCTTGATCACATCAAATAAATGATATAAAATTCAGGAAATGTGCAGTTTAGGTTCCAATTCTAATCTTAAAGATGAACTGTGAAAGAAAAGAGATTCCATTTAAGCATCTATGTTTCTCCTATTATGTGTAATTCCTTGAAAAGGATTTGTATCCTGCTTGTTTTTTCATATTGGGAATTCAGATCTTGTGCATTCTTGCATACTATGGACAACCTGAGAACGAGAAGGTTTTTTTATGAAGGAGTGAACAAAAAAATTAAAGCTAGTTGAGCAGAAATGTAGTGTTTATTCACTGTTTAAACATGTTCATTTTTATTAAAGCAATTTTATCTCAGTCTGAAGAATTTTGCTTTGTTAAGAATTCTACACAACACTCAATACGATTCAAAGGCCAAAGACCCAGTCCTCATTTTAGTCATCCAGTAAGTCTTCCCATAAAGTGGGTAGACAAGACTTGACATTCCTGATATTTTTAAAGTTAAAAACCTAGCAGATTTTTTAAAAAGAAGCTTTTAAGCTTTCTTTATACATTGTAAAGATAAAATATTCTCTCTCTTTTGCAGGCCATCTTTAACTCTGGCCCTACAATTGCATTCCACATTTAGGCCAGAAGACCCTGATCAGCTGTGTCCATGACACTCAGCATTGTGCTGTTGCACACAGTATATGAATTACAACAGTATGCAAGTTAGTTGCACAGTATAATTCACATTCATCTTTTCAGCATGTACCAAGAACTGGAGAGGAAAGGGGAATCTCTGGCTCCTGTTCTTTTTTCTTTTCTTTTTTTTTTTTTTTTAGGAGGGGGGGGTAGGGAAATGCAGAATCTCTAGCCATAAAGAAAAGGGAAAAAAAAGTTTCTGTTGACCTCACTAGTTGACACAAGTTGGCTGAGAAGGGACTGTATGACTGGGTGGAAGGGCAGCCAACAAGGGGGATGAGTTGGAACTTTGTAGCCCATACTGGAAATAGCATTTGTAGTTGAGGGGAGAATCTCCCACTTGTACAGTAGTTGGAGGGTGAAAAGGTTTTTGTTTTTTAAATAAAGGGGGAAGAATATATTTCCTACCTTTACTCAGTTGAGTTTGACTGGCAATGTCCTTAATTTTATTTAATAGGAAAAATTTTCTTGTTCACTTGAATAGAATTTGCTTGCAACACTGAGTCCCAGTCATACACGTAAGGGTTACATGCTCTGCTGACATGTTTTTAGTTATTTTCTGAAGCGTTGAATATCTCACATTTCAATCCTGAGTGGCAGTGTGAGAACTTATAAATTGTACGAGTCCAACCATATATATGAGGCCTTTCAGAAATTAGCGTTGGGAACTTGGACATTATGAATTTTCTCCTTAAATCTGAAAGCGGCATTATGCACAATTAAGGGTTAATATCCACAACCACCAAATTTTGAGAGCTGGCCATTGGAACGATGAGTGGACAAAATGCTTTTCCCAAACTGCAAAGCAAGGAATTTTTCTACTGAGACTAAGAAAAGATCTTATCTACCTTCAAACTAAAAAATTATTAAGCGTGAGAAATCACAGGTTTAAAAGATGAGAGAACTTTTGGTGGTTAGGCTTGGAAAAATGCTAATATCTCAGAATACAAGAACTTTCTTTGCATTCCAAACAGTAGGAGAGGAAACAGCAGATGGGTTGCCAGGTGTGGGTGTGGTTTATACAAACACATTCATATAATTCCTAATAACATTTCATAATGATGTCTGAAAGTCAAAGAAGAATATTGATTCCAGTTGGTTCAATATACCTTGCTGACAGCTATTTAAAAACATTTGGAGTAAGTCACACCATACAGTCTTCTGAAGTCTCATCTGTAAAGCACTTGGAAAGCAAATTATTAAATTGAATCAGGAAAAAAACGAGGCACCATGAAGGTTGTATTGTTATTCATAATGGAACATTAATCTCTACAATAATATAGTACTTCCCCTTCTTGCTGCTGCCCAGCGAGGCAAAGTGAGAAATCTTACTACTGATGACCGATAAGCCCCTTACATCACCACTTGATACGTGTATGTCTTTCCTTCCTAATTCTACTAGGTTGGCTATGCAAACTCCCTCTTGCAGTTACTTAGAAGTCCCAGTATTAACCACCCCATCCCAGATACAATATTGCAGCTATCAAAATGCTGGAGTTCCTTCTGTCCTTTCTTGTAGAAACTTTATTACTGTCCATCAGCTGCAACTCTGCCCCACTATGTTCTGCAATAGGAATTTTACCTGTGCAAGGACCACAAGGTCCTAGATGGAAGAAAATCATTTGTTTACCACTCCACCACTATTCTCCTCTCCTTTCATACCCCAATATCATCCCCAATGAGCAAGCACACAAGATTTGTTCATCTAAACAAAAAATACTGTCAACTATGAAAATACTTTGATAGAAATAACCCTTTGAAGCAACATTAACTCAATTTCTGGGAATTTTGTAAACAGACATCAGCTTTACTAGAACTGACTGATATTTGCTTGTTTTACAGATTTTCATTCAATATGAAAAGAAATATCTTCAGTTTTATTTATGTCAATGAACTATAAATAGCATTTTCCTGTCAAAAGAGGAAACTGGTCAAACAAGTGTACTGGCCACTGTAAAAGTGAACTGGATATTTTTAAACAGAGTCAATAGTAGAGGCAGTCTGATGCTGTCTGCAGTACACTGGACTGAAGCCATGGAGGCACTATGGTGGTGGTTAGAGAGCGCACCCTGCAGTGACTCTGGAATGGAAAGCATATATGCTGCCATCAAAGAATGTTACAAGCATCATACCTCCAAAAAGCAAGTAATGGAAAACAGTTTTAATCTAGTCTACAGAACTAGAAAATTTGTGTAATAGAGACTTATCCAGAAGTGCTTTGGGAATTGCTTTATTTTCCAAATGTTTTTCATATTCAGCCAATAATGGACCATTTTAGGTCTGCTTTTCAAACTGTAAGTTGATGACCCGGAGCTCAGAACAAACAAGCTAATTGGGACTTTAATGTCTATCTCTGCCAGTTTAGACCTATTCTTACCCACCTGTCAGTTACATAGTAATGTTTGTGATATTTATAGGTGGTCACTTAAAAGTTTGTGGAGCTGAATGAAATAATGGGAACCAAGGGAACAACAAGGCTTTTTACAGAACTTGTTGGGTGCTTTCATACCTATCCTGAGAATATGAAAATTACTAAACACAGATGTTTGAAGCAAGAAGAGTTAAAGATTGAGAATGTAACTTAGAGTTCCCTGATGGTTGACCACTTTAAGTATTAAAATGTTAGCAGAAGACACTAATGTTTCATCAATCTGTAAGAAAGCAGAAAAGCAAGCAGGCATTGCTGTTTAGTTCTGAGGCGCTCATGCATGGTGGGTTAGGTGTGCACACACAAAAAAGCTGTCCCACTCCAAAAAGGAACATCCTGAAGATTCTCATGAGGAAAATCCTTCCCATACCTCACGTTTGAGGTGTCAATTGTATATGAGCTGTGGTTTTAAAATAAGTGCATCCAACTGGAATCCATCATCTTGTGGAAGGGCAGTATGGGAGCCTTAGTGTCTAGTTCAGGGGTGGGCAAACTTTTTGGGCCGAGGGCCACATCTGGATGGGGAAATAGTATGCAGGGCCGGGGCAGAGGGTTGGGGTGCTGGAGGGAGTGTGGGAGGGGGTGTGGTGTGCAGAAAGGGGCTCAGGGCAAGGGATTGGGGCAGAGGAGGGGTGCAGGATGTATAAGGGGGCTCAGGGCAGGGGGTTGGGGTGCAGGGTGTACAAGGGGACTCAGGGCAGGGGGCTGTGGTGCAGGAGGGGTGCGGACTGCGGGAGGGGGCTCAGGGCAGGGAGCTGGGGTGCAGGGTGTACAAGGGGACTCAGGGCAGGGGGCTGGGGTGCAGGAGGGGTTCGGGCTCCAGCCACGCTTACCTCAAGCGGCTCCGGAGTGGCAGCGGCACGCACTGGGGCCAGGGCAGGCTCCCTGCACACCTGCCCTGTCCCCGGCCCCGCGCCGCTCCAGGAAGCGCTGCGGCCCCCAGGGGAGGTGGGGCGGAGATACCTTCCCCAAAGCTCCCATTGGCCGCGGTTCCCCATTGGCCAATGGGAGCTGCGAGGGGCGGTGCCTAGAGGCAAGGGCAACACATGGAGCCCTCTGCCCTCCCCGCCCAGGGGCTGCAGGAATGTGGTGCCGGCGGCGCCGTGGACTGGATCCAAAGCCCTGAGGGGCCAGATCCAGCCCGCGGGCCGTAGTTTGCCCACCCCTGGTCTAGTTGGAAACCAACTTCCAGTTCTCCTGTTTAACTTTTCAAATCAGTATTCAGTATTCAGTTCTACTTTTCACTGCATTCTGTTTTGATATTAACAATGACATTTTGTTTTAGCCACCACAATTAAAGCAGGCTCTACTAGTTTATTGTGTCTATTTTTGAATACCCAAGATGGTGTCAAATGAGATCAGTGGAAGAGTGACCACCATTAGCTGAAAGAAGAACAGGAGTACTTGTGGCACCTTAGAGATGCATCCGAAGAAGTGGGCTGTAGTCCACGAAAGCTTATGCTCTAATAAATTTGTTAGTCTCTAAGGTGCCACAAGTACTCCTGTTCTTCTTTTTGCGGATACAGACTAACACGGCTGCTACTCTGAAACCTGTCACCATTAGCTGAAGACTCCAACACCATTTTAATCAAAAGCCTTCATTTCAAATACAATTTAGTTAAGCTGTAAGATGCATTTCTCCTAATGGAAAATTACAGAATAGTTTCTACTCCGTGCACTACTGTATTCTGCCTTTGCAAGCTTAAACACTCTGGGATACTTCATACTTGTACTCCTGCCTTCCAGGTACAGGTTGAGCTTCTTTAGCTAGATCTCCCTTAAGCTCCATTTCCAATGTGCAGTTACCTAGAGATTAAACCTTAAGAGCTCTGCTTCCCACAAACTACAGCAGTTCAAGCCTCCCTTGTGGGCACAGTACAGTTGTTTAAGTGTTTGAGTACAGTGTTTGTCTCACCAATATGAAACAAACAAAAACAAAAGTGTGTCCTGAACACAAGGCACTTGGCAATATAGTCATAATACACAATCCAAAATTAGGAAACATTGGATAATTGAACTGCAGGCATGCAAGAGACAAGACAGGTCTTTAACTGGGGATGGAGATGGAAGCTTAGAACCTCCATCCCAAAAAGTACATTCAGTTACAAATGACCTATTTGAGGGAGATAGGAAACACAATTTGAGACATTTCATAAGGACTCTATCAAATATATGCTTCAAGAACTTAATAATTAGCTTTTCATTCAAAAAGGTTCTTCCCCCTCCCCAAAAGACTACTGGGGGGAGGGATAGCTCAGTGGTTTGAGCATTGGTCTGCTAAACCCAGGGTTGTGAGTTCAATCCTTGAGGGGGCCACTTGGGGATCTGGGGCAAAATCAGTACTTGGTCCTGCTAGTGAAGGCAGGGGGCTAGACTCGATGACCTTTCAAGGTCCCTTCCAGTTCTAGGAGATGGGATATCTCCATTTTTTTTTTTTAAAGGAGACTGGGTAGGCAAGGAATAGAGACGAGAAATACAACAGACCTTCATGGGCAGCAGAAGCAGGTAATCATATGAAATAGGAGAGACAAGGTGCATAATATCTTTTATTGGACCAACTTCTACTGGTAACATGAAGAAGTGCCCTGTGTCACTCGAAAGCTTGTCTCTCACCAACTGAAGTTGGTCCAATAAAAGATATTACTTCACCCACCTTGTCTCTCTAATATCCTGGGACTGACTACACTACACTACCAGCTACAACTACACTGTATCTGAGACAGGAACCAGACTTCCAGAAGTTAAACTTGCTGCAGGACAATTCAGCTTTGTCTTGAGATAACACCATTCCCTGAAACCTGAAGGCTCTTGCTGCTGTGACTGATGTTAATAACTTACAGGTCTGAGTCCACTGTGACCTCTACAGGCTATGGAGGGGTCAAGTCCTAGGACTGGAAACTGAACAGGTTTATCAAGTCAAACAAACCAATGTTTTTTAGGTTTTAAACAAATCCATGTCATTGGATTAATTCTGTTTATTTTTCCACATACATTCATGTTCTTTCCATTTTCCAGAGGCAGGTTCTCTGATCCATCAGTACTGACTAAGGCAAGTCACTTGTTTTCGTCCATAATCATTTTCATATTGCAGCACTCTTCTGTAATACAGTCAGATAGTTCAGCTTGGTACCCCACCTGAGCACTAGCTACCAGGTTTACATTTGCACGGGGTTCCTTCAGATACCACTACATCGATTAAACAGATGTCACTACACAATCGGAGAGCTTGAGTTATGCAATATGAAGCTCAATATATGCAGCGAGAAATTACATTTCTATGCTATCCTGGTTTATGTATAGTAGTGTTAAAGATAACATCCATCCTCTACTATTCACAACCCTAAAACAGTGAAACATTTACACTAACAAATCAAAAAAACCTCTCCTTTACCTTCTGCTCTTCACATTTGTACACAGTCAAGTCACTCTCTGCATGTATTTAATTTTGAATCTGTGTAGATGCAAGCTGTATATCAATCACTACATCTAAGAGAAAGCAAACAGTATTCTTTCTATTCAATGTACATAAAAATAGGATTGTGTTAAAATGGTTCTGAAAATACCAGAAGCAAAACTCGTGTGGAACCTAATAAAGACAGCAGAAAGCATGTACAAAATCTATGACAATAAATGGAACAAACAGCAATTGAGAATCAACTTATCCGATCCAGTATAAGTTTTTAAAAAGGGATGTTACATTCTCAGTGGGGAGTCATTTGGCTAAAGCTAGCGCACATTAAGTTGATAACATCCCTTCACTCTGAGTGGCATTCACTTTCACACCACCATGTAAGAACAGCTGTATCAGTAATGTGCTGCTGCGTCAGAGAATCTGTTAGGACACATACTGTTGTTTAGAAAAGAAAAGAAGCTCCATGACTTTATGGAAAAATCCAGGCTTTAAAGGTCACATGTAACAACAAAATCAAAATGGGAAGGATTTGTACAGAAGCTTATGAACTCAAAACCATGTAAGTAAGGAAGGTATTCAGAGATTCCAAGAAAAAAAAAAAAGAAATAAAAGTGGTTAGATCAGGAAAGAATAAAAACCAAAATAGAAAGGCACTCATGAAGAAGCCAGCGATAGGATGCAGGAAACCTACTATAAAAGTAAAGGGTAGTGGTAGAAAAAAAATCCAACACTGAGCTTGTTTTCACACAGGAGCTATAGGATAGTTCCATAGATTTTCGCAAGTCCTTTGATCCTATGGAGGAGAGAGAGACAAGGAGAAAAGAAAAAAAAAAACGGTGGCAGACACACACTCAAGCACTACAACTGGAGGAATAATCTTGGGTTCAAAAAACAAGACAAAGGGTGGTAATATCAAGGGTCATGGGAGAGGGAGAAGGGTCACTGGACTGCCTCTAGTTACTACAGTACTACTACTGTAGGGTGCTGAACTCACTCTGAAGGACGCTTATCGTAGCCTGGGCTCGAATCCACGTTATGGAGGGATTTTGCCTCAAGTCATTCCTCCTGGGATCGTTGCTGGCCCTGCACTCGTAAGTCCCAGAGTCTTCCAATGTAAGGCGGGTTATTCTCAGCACACTCACGCCGTTCGCCCCGTAGGCAGTGTTAATGGTGACACGGCGCTTCCGAGCACCATCCCACAGCTGTTTGAAAGACTCAGCCCGGTTGACTTCAGCATACCACCACTGGATCTCTGGAGTGGGTTTCCCAACCACGTCACAGTACAGCTCAAAGGCATCCCCTGTGAGTTTAGTTTCTGACATGGGCGACTTGACAAACCCAGCTAGAGGGAGGGGCAGCAGAAATGCAGTGATAGACCAGCAGAAAATAACAGATGTTATAAAGAACAAAGCAAGTGAGTTGCAGAAAACAAAGGATTAGATAAGACATCATAATTTACAGCAACCAGGTGTTAACAAGACTTTTATAGAAAGAAAGCGCAACACACAGAGCGCTTGCTAATTTTGTTGGCTTGAAGGTGTGTTATAGTTTTCATATCACAGCACACCCTCTCAAGGAAGAGGAGTTCTTGGGAGACAGACTACCAGGATAAGCATTTTATGATGGGTTTTCTATAGTGTCAAACTGGATTATAGGAGGCTGCATCAGGGGAACCATAAACAGCAAACACGCATCACCTTTTGGAACTGGAAAGTGATGAAATGGCACCAGGGAGCTATGGAAAAGCAGACTGTGAATTATGGTGGTCCTTTTCTAGCTGCTTGAACTGTTTGGTTTATACAAGTTAAATGTCCAACAGAAGCCTTTCCCCCGTTCATTCTCAGCCTTCTCATTAAAACAGAAAACCGATCAAACACCAACTACAGAAAAAAATAGCAAGCTTCTGTCCTATATACCTCTCCACCATGAACTCTACTTTGACCTTTTCTTCCACCTATTCTGAACTTCAGAGGCAGGGAATTCCCTGAGATATAAGTGACCTACTTTCTGGCGGTAGCTAGATCACTGCAGCTGAAAGCAGCAGATTCTCACAATCCCTGTTAAATTATGATAGGGATTTTCATTTTACACATACAGAATGACAAAATTATTTCACTAATTGAGAAACTTACAGCATTGAGTAACTAGATATGTTATAAGGGAAGTCCTTCTGTATCTTTGTAAAAGATGCATAGTTGTAATTCAGTACCAAAACCATTGGAGCCCCTTCTGTGACATAAATTTCCCTGCTATTTACCAGCATTACTACATCAGTGCATTTGACTTTGTTTTAAGTTGCCCTCCAAAGCATATTTTGGAAGTGACCCACTGAAAATAGTGCAGATTTAAAGCAAGTCTATTTTGTATACTGAAAATTTTAGAAAAAACAGCTGGCCAGCTAGATTATGCAGCAAAACCTGTCAGATCTATGTTGAATTCTCTCTGGACACCAGGGATCAGCAACAGCAGCAAGCAGGGAGGGCAGACAGTGTTACTGACATCTATACCACTGATAAAATAGACTGCTCCACCCCACACATCCCCACACTCTTCTCCCACCCCCAAACACAATCCATTTCAGAAAGAGGTGTAGGGAAACAAGCCTTTGGTCTCCGTTATAAGGGACAGGAGGAATGAGAGGCTTATTCCATTAAACTTTCCATGCACACTGATTAGATGAAAATTTTCAGTCCCTTGTCAGACAGTTTGGACCACATCCTTTTATTCTTGTTCCAAGGTTCTCTCTTCTCTGCTACTCAATAGGTAACTGATGAACTGCGGTAAAATAAAATTCAAGTGAACAATAAATGTACACTGGAAAGCTATTATTATAACAAGTGTTTCTGTAGATTTAGGAGGAATTTTGTATTTATGTTACTCAGGCCGCAGGCAGTTGAAGTATGGACAGGAAAAGCTTTTCTTGCTGTTCTAGTACTGGTTCCTCCAGAGCAATTGAGATAATCCATTATAATGGTGTATAAACAAGGCCTAAAATTCAACATTCACATTTAAGCTAGGCATAAACGGTGTTCATCCAAGGACCATTTTAGTAATTTGCCAGGAGCCCTAAGGCTACACTTAACTTTTATATTAAGTAGATATCAGCTGCCTTCATCTTCAGTAGAAGAGTGCTGACTGTGAGATTATAGGTCCCAATACAACGTGCCATCTTGATCTGTGTAACCAGATCTGTAATCTCTACAGACTGTTGCTCCATACTACAAACTGCTTTTTAGAATTCCCCGAGATGTATTTGGGTTCCCCTAACTGAAGCAGCATAGCACAGAAGTTGCTGCAGCACACGCTTCAGTTAAATACAGATTAACATCTCCCATTGGCATTCTACACAGTCATGCATTAGACCACAAATGAGGAAATAATGAACTACTTTCTACCACACAAGATATTTGGGGTTTGCAGAGAGCTCCCCCCACAAAAGGATGGAGCCCTGGAAGGATTTAGAAGTGAGAGAAGTTATAGGAAACCTCCCTATACAAAGCGTATTCTGAAAATGCCTTATTAGTAAGGGACTAGCTGCATGATTAGAAATGCCATGCAAGTCTATCAACTTTTACATGTAACTCAGCGCTTTGCATTTTCACTAATTCATTACTAGCTACACAACACCAAACAGCATCAGCAAGTTTCAGGCAGTACCTTCAGCGAGCCATTTCCGATAAGGAAAGAATTCCAAGAAGAAACTACAAGTAGAGGTAAAATCCATACGCACCCCATGGATTATTCAAAAAATGGAATGCACACTAAACAGAACACTTTCCATAATGGAAAAGACAAGACTAGAAACTTATCTGGAAAACTCATGCTGTTTGGCAATTCTGTCAACATTTGCCATAAGTGTACAAAACCAAGCAAATAGAGAAAGAATGTACAGATTTCACTGCTTATACAAGAGGCTTCTGAAGCCAGAAAGTTTCCTTACTTGGTTTTCCCCCATGGCATGTATACATGGGGGGGTTTTGTAGTTGTCAAGGCTGCTTCCCCACTCTGAACTTTAGGGTACAAATGTGGGGGCCTGCATGAAAACTTCTGAGCTTAACTACCAGCTTAGATCTGGTCCGCTGCCACCACTTCCAATGTGCTAATTCCCTTCCCTGGGTAGCCTTGAGAGACTCTTCACCAATTCTCTGGTGGATCAAGATCCAAACCCCTTGGATCTAAAAACAAGGAAAAATCAATCCGGTTCTTAAAAAGAAGGCTTTTAATGAAAGAAAAAGGTAAAAATCATCTCTGTAAAATCAGGATGGGAAATAACTTTACAGGGTAATCAAACTTAAAAAGCCCAGAGGACCCCCTTCTAGCCTTAGGTTCAAAGTTACAGCAAACAGAGGTAAACACCCTAGTAAGAGATACATTTACAAGTTGAGAAAACAAAGATAAAACTAACACGCCTTGCCTGGCTGTTTACTTACAAGTTTGAAATATGAGAGACTTGTTCAGAAAGATTTGGAGAGCCTGGATTGATGTCTGGTCCCTCTTAGTCCCAAGAGCGAACTCCCCCAAAACAAAGAGCACAAACAAAAGCCTCCCCCCAAAGATTTGAAAGTATCTTGTCCCCCTAGTGGTCCTTTGGGTCAGGTGTCAGCCAGGTTACCTGAGCTTCTTAACCCTTTACAGGTAAAAGGATTTTGGAGTCTCTGGCCAGGAGGGATTTTTTAGTATTGTACACAGGAGGGCTGTTACCCTTCCCTTTATAGTTATGACAGTAGCATTTTGCATAAAGACAGATATTCAGGAGGTAGGTGCTACAGAAAGAAGGAATAATAACTTATTCTCAAGAAGACAGCCCCCAAAAGAAAATCTCTCTCTCAACAGATAAAGGAGAAAAATAGGTCAAAGTTTACTGATCTTGACATCTGTTTACATCTGAAAATTGCCCTCATTCAGATTTTCTAGCTGCCTACAGCTTTTAAAGCTGAATGCACCCTTCTCACATTTTGAAAACCCCCAAAACAATTCAGAAAGAACAACAGTCTTGCTTGGACTTTGCAAGTGTCATTAAGGCACAGTTGGGAGCACTAAGTCTTGTAAAATTTGGGCTGACATTTGATGCTGATGCTGTAGAACAAAAGAGATAAGAGAGTGGGAAAGGCATATATTTAACTGAGGTCTCCAGTCCACCTGCTAGCTCTTCAAGTGCAAGGTAAAGAACTAAAGCCTTTTGCAAGTTATAGAATAGCCCTGGTGCACTAGACAAAAAGGGCTCAGCCTCAGACACTACTTACTGAGAACAAGCAAATGGAAATGCCTATAGAAATATTCTCCCTCTAAATAAGGCAGGTTCTTATGGCCAGGGTTGTAAAGCTACCAGTAGCTTACAATCACTGGTAAGCTATTGACTGCTTTGTAAACTGCTAGGTAGTGAAATGCACCATGGAAAAAACAAATCAAAACATTGTTCTACTGTACGTGGTAGCACTGAGCAAGTGGAGAGTTACTGTGAAGTCTGTCACAAGATTTACCACAAAGTCTCAATATAATTCCATGATACACCAGAAGACAAGGGATGTTACACTACAGGACAGTCTGGGAAGCTTTGCCATTTCAGGGTAACATTTACTTGCTGTCACCAACATAAACTGAGCTATAAATTTTTGTAATTTATTTTCTTCTACGGCATTGTTCTTCAGATAAAGTCATAGGTTTAAGTAATGAAAGAGATATTATACACCTCTACCCCGATATAACGCGACCTGATATAACACGAATTCGGATATAACACGGTAAAGCAGCGCTCCGGGGGAGGTGGGGGAGAGGGGCTGAGCGCTCCGGCGGATCAAAGCAAGTTTGATATAATGCGTTTTCACCTATAATGCGGTAAGATTTTTTGGCTCCCGAGGACAGTGTTGTATCGGGGTAGAGGTTATTAGAAGCTCAATAGCCAAGATTTTCCTTTTT